TTAATAATAAATGAAAACAACGTACGCTCGTATAAGTAAGAGTAACACCATAACATGTGTTTCATACCATATGTGCTTAGGAATCATAATAGGAAACAAGTAAATAAATCCTTTCTTCATTGATGTGTAAGTTTCAGAAAGGAAAAATCCTTTCAATAAGGTCTTTTGACTTTGACATTATCATGGAGATATGTCATAGGTGAAAGGAAGATTATATTAAATATACACATCTATGCTCGTATTCAAGACATGAAATAATTTATTGATTCATAAGTATAGATACTATGCATATGAGAGAGACTATTTGAGTCTTAAACTAACTTAAGAGGAATCGAATTAGTCAAAATGAGAAAAGTCTATATTAGTAAATCTAGGACATTAAGGCACAAATTTAATTAAGAATAAATTCAACTACAAGGTTATTTATGCTAGTCCTTAACACGATTCCTAGTACGAACACCCACAATGAAGACATCAAGCATATGCGGTCACGACAAAGCATCTCGTATGAAAGAAGAAAGAGAAAGAGACAAGACCTGTGATATCTTATTCATCAAGTGTGAGTGGGAGAAATATAGGTTTTGGAGGAGGAAAATACCCTTATATGATATACCGGATGAATGTTGTATGCAGGAATGGAGTGACAGGACCGAACTCGATTCTTGCTTCACAACAAATGCACACAGACTGAAAGAGAGGTTTTTGAGCAAGAGAGAATATAAAAGACTATTATTTGGAAAGATTCACCAAACAAGCAAAAAAATACATCCCGTCACGTCGAACCTAAATTGCCCCCATATATGCATTGGCTTCAGATGTAGGAAGTTACTCAATATAACCATTCCCTCCAATCTAATAAATTTGAACAATGGAGTCATTTACATACAAAAGCCTAGGGAATATTATGCTTAACAAACCCAAACTCTTTCATATTCATGATAAAGCCTTATAGCTTATATATTAGGCCAATCCACTAAAGGTGGGTAACCCAACACATTTAAATCAACAAAGATGTAGGCCTTTGTCAAAAATTTGAGGAGAAGGAGAGATAGGAAATAGTGTTTTCATTTACAACCGTTGTTCTTCAATTTAGAATGCGTAAGGGTACGACAAATCAATAATGGAATGGTGGTAGAAGAAAATATCGCTTCAAAAGGGGAGAGAAAATTAAAACATCTAAGTAAAGTTACATCACAATGTACAATAGAGATGCTTAAAAAGTTGCTTCCAGAAGAATATATGTGTATTTATCATGTTGTTACCATATTTTTCTATAGAATTCCAAATCTTTTGATATAATACAGACATTGTGAAAAAATTGGGCCAACCATCTTCCAAAATCAACAACATAGATACAGAAAGCTAGTGTAGGGAAAGAAGCAAATAGAAACTATTACAGGTTTAGTTATACAACATTAGAAACAAACTTCTTTTAATGTCGGAATAACTAAATCTGCATTCAATCACAATACACTCAAGGAGAACTCAAATATAAACAAAAAGAAACGATACCTATTAACACTGTAAAGCTAATGCCCGAAAATTCATTCTACAGTACTTGATTGAAAAGCATAATTGTATGACAAATTATAATTGCACAAAGATTAGATGCATCCTTTGATTTGCTCCCTTCAAATTTTACAAAGAAGAATGATCCTTCCACATATTTAAATATATATTCAATGATACTTTAAATCTTATTAGTCATATATGAATCACATAGTACCATATAAAAGCACAAACAAGTTGAGCTACATAGCTATTTAATGCAATTCCAAGTACCAGGGAACAAACATAAAGTATTGCATCAAAATTTGGTGAACTGACATATATCTATGCATTACCAATCTCATCTAGTAAAACCAAATAATAAATTTACATCTTATCAAAAGACAGATACCATAAACTGTAAATATGAATCAATATATTATGCTGATTTTTCTACAATAGCATGCCTAATTTAACATCAATTAATATGAATCAGTTGCAGATATTCTCTATAGCCGATGGAAAAGGAAAAGAACTCAATTCCTCAAAGGGCTTTATATTTCCCAAACTTTTAGATATTAAATAAATTGGGTTTAGTTACAATCAAATGTTTCAACTTTCAAGACTATGTATAGCATATCTTAAGAAGTAAAAAGCATCGAAGTAATGAATGAAAGGAAAACAAAACGGCTTATTCTTTTTTCTTATGATTGCACAACACAGATATGAAAACATTGGAAAAACTTCTTCTAAAGCAACTACTGAGAAACAGAGAGCAAGCACAGGGGAAGAGGGAAGTAGAAAATAACATAGAAAGAGAAGATAAATAAAAAAAGGAAAAATAGCACCATACCAGCAACGATTAGAGAAAATAAAAAAAAGACACCAAAAGCAAGTAGATAGAACATAGAGAGGCAGAACTTGGAGTGAGAACTAGTGGTGATGACGACTGAGGGTGGGGGCTAAGACAATTAGTGGGGTTGGTGCAGGCGGGAATAAGCAATGAGGTAAGGTAGATGATTGGAATGGATGGCTCAATGAGATATCAAATTAGGGTATCATTATTAGAAAAAGTGTCAACATTCAAAAGATTTAGCCAGAGATCCCTGAAAAGCACATGAAGGAATAAAATTACAGAACTCAAAATTAAGCAAAAGCAAAAAAGCCAAAATTTGGTTTGAAAGAATAGAGTAAGTCAAGTGATATGGGCACAAAATTACAGAAGAAATAAAGGTTATGTTTCATAAAAGAACATACAGGTCTCTCTATTATAAAGGAAAAAGGAAAGATAATAACTCTATCCCTTATATAAAACATAATCCAAATTCAAAAAGATAAAAGAAAATAGAAATATGGAATGTTTTAAAGATAAAATGGAAAGCATCAATAGAAAGTGATCAAATTCCAAAGGAGTTCAAGAAAGACCTCTTTGAAAAAGGAGAAAAGATAGAGAAGAGGTGGAGAAGATGAGAAACCTAGAGAGAACCAGCGATGATGAAAAAAATCCTCTTGATCCACTTGATAGAGCTTTTGTCTAGACCTTTAGTGAACATCATCTAACGGGTCTTTCTTGGCTAGAAGAAGGTGACATTATGAGAGAATCATGCTGCTGAAAGAGAGTGAGTGAGTGAGCCGAACTGTATTAAAGATTAAAGAAGAGTGTTATCGGTATTTAGAAGTTGAGAAAGCAATGAGAGCATTCTCTAAGGGCTGAAAAGCGTGAGTCGATGCTTAAAGGTTGAGATGCAAGGAGCGTATTCACTAATGACTAGAAGAGCATGTCCGGTGCTTTGGGGCTAAGATTGCTAACGGCTAGTTAGACCCCTTTTTTTTTCTTTTTAATATTCATATACACTAGATTAAATATATTTATGGTTATGAATATGGCTTTTAAATTTTGGTCAAAAAAATATGGCCTTTAATTATACATATTTTATTTTATGTTTATGTCAAAAATTAGGAGGAAAAATTAGCATAACACCAACATGAAATCTGCAAATAGTTGGTTATAAAAAAAAAGAAATCTGCTCATAAAATTTTTTATTTTCTTCCATCCACAAAGGCATTTTCATAACATAATACTCCCTTCGCTAAAAAATATAAGACATTTTTAACTGAATCTCACTCTCAATAAAGTAGTCATCTACTTTCAAACTAACTTTATCTTTTTATATTTACCCCTATTAAACACCCTACAATAAATATAAAGTCATTATCAATGAGGACACTTTTGAAAAAAAGGTAATAATTACACCTCAAAAGACTAAAAATGCTTTACATTTTTCAATATCAAACTTCTTAAAAAATGCCTTACATTTTTTAACAAAGGGAGTATATACTTTTCATGGTTTTGATAAAATTATATAAATTTTTATATTTAATGTGTAAGCAAACTTTTTTAATACAAAACCGATCATGTATGCTTCGTCTGCCCCATTTTATAATGTATTATTTTCTTGTTAATAATTATGTATATTAATTAAGTCCCACTAAATGCAATTTATAATCTTAATTTCTTCAAATAAATACTTTGCATGTGATAAAACCTCCTTCTTGAGCTCATTTATGCTTCCCTCTTTTCTCTCCCATTTCACATAATGAGGACCTAGTTTGGGTGTTCATCACACTGATGAACACTATGGTAATCACTTGACTGTGCAGAATATATTTGAATAGTCAATATATATTAATTATAAAAATTTTAATATTAAATTGATCCATCTAAATTAAATTTAAACCATATTAAAAATAAAAAATTTATTAAAATTATTTTATAATTTTTATAAATTTTTATTTAAAAAAAATATAATATATAATAATGACTTAAATCTAGACTATCCAGATTAAAATTTAAATGATTCAGATCTCATTACAGTTTAGATGCTCATCACTCCCAAACCAAATCCACTTCATGACTAACAAAATTTTGATAAGGTCTAAAGATTATATTACTTGCAACCAAGTCTAATTTTTATTATCAACCAAGTCCACTTTTTGTACCATAAAAAAGATATTACTTGCAACCTAACGACATCCCCTGAAACTCGGTTATTCTAATTTTTATAATAAAAAAATCTTGCTCAATGTATCCAATTGAACAAGTAATTGCTAAGTGGGTTATTTTAATAAAATATTTTAAGAAAAATATAAATTTTTGATCATTACACTTCATTCATATTTTATTATATATTTCTACACTTTTTTTACATTTTAGATTATTATATTTTTATTTTTTGATGCTTTAGGTCCTTCTAAAATTTTTATATTTTATTCATTTAGAAATTTAAAATATTAAAAAATAAAAGTATAGAGATCTAAAATATTAAAAAAAATACAGGAATCTATAACAAAAGATAAACATGCGAAAATCAAAATTAAGTTATGTTTTTTTAATATTTTATTTATAACTCATTTGATAATCATTCAACCAACAGTTTTGAATATTAAACCTTGAATTATTGCATTTACGGGTACAATGACCGGTTCCTCGGGTCGGGACTCGGGGAAAGATCGGGAAGCCGGAGCCCGGAAGCAGAGCAGAGGGTTTAGTGGTTCATCCAAGATGCTGAGGAGCGGGGGAGAGGGAGCCATTCCCATTCCCATCCATCTCCGTTGCTTTTGCCGATCAAAATCTTTCTCAATTCTTCAACCAATGATCCTTTCCAACATATATATACACGTAAACAAAATCGAATCCCAAACTGTACCCACCAAACGAAACGGCAATGGCTTTCTCGTTTCTTACTCTCCCTCAAACAGCGTGACAAGTTGCCTGCAACGCAATCATCTATCCCTCGTCATTTCCTCGTTCGTGCTTCGCCTTGCGGAATCTTAACGAGAGCCACTTTCGTCGCGGGCTTCGTAGAACAGGAGAATAATAAAGTCAAGTTCAACATTTCAGGGTAACGGCTTCAATCAACGTTGAAGAATTATGGTGAAGCTAGTGGAACAACTGTAAAGGGGATTAATAGGGGAACTGAAAAGTTGAGGTTCGAAGTAAAAATCAATTTTACATTGTTTTGCGGTCATTGCTTTATTGCATGTATGGCATAATAATTTCAGCTTGGGACTTGGGGAGAAGACTTCTTGGGTTGATTGTTTGTCGAGGAAAAAGCTGATATTTGGCATGTCTCATTTATTGTTGAGAGCCATTTTGGTCAGGAGGAAGAATGGTTTTGGTCTATTATATACAAGTACTTCTTTCCACGAGAACTTGATTAACTTAATTTCCGGTTCTAGCAGAGAAAGGCAATCCTTCGGTGCCGGAATTATCTTGGGTATGTGACCAACCCTTAATTTCCAAGAGTAATAATTGAAGAACTTGTTTTTGATAGAAAATGGATTAAACTGATTTGATGATCGAAAGCTTGTTGCTTTGCAGAACAACCTTTTAATCGTTTGCTCATACACGGCTCTGCAGCAAACTATTTGAATTGGAATTGCGGCCTGGTCATTTCAAATATTCATACTTCTTGTTTGGTTCTGCATAACAGGGGTTTTTCTACTTCTGGAGATAAACTGATTGAATCTGATCTGCATGCTGCTGAAAATTCAAGCCATTCGGTGAAGTCTTCTGTTGACTTAGATGATGATTGTACTACGATAGGTTGTTTTGAGAAGTCTTATGTTGATCCTGGTGATGTGTTAGTCACCAAGAAAACTTATGGAAAACCTGTGGATTTTACTAAAATTGAAATTTCTAAGCTCCCTGTTGTTATGATTATTGGTCGCCCTAATGTAGGGAAGTCAGCATTGTTTAACCGGTGAGTTCTGCATTACGACAGATGCTTAGTTTGCTGGCAATTATGGCATGACATGTGGCATTCAACTCTAGTAACATTTTTGTCTGTGTGGTAACTTTTAGTTTGATCCGGAGGAGGGAGGCTCTGGTATATAACACACCAAATGATCATGTTACTCGGGATGTACGAGAAGGGGTTGCCAAGTTGGGTGATTTACGATTTAAAGTGTTAGATTCAGCTGGATTAGAAGCTGAAGCATCTTCAGGGTCAATCCTTCATAGAACAGCAGGAATGACTGCTAGTGTCTTATCGAGGTCTCAGTTTGCAATCTTCCTGACAGATGGAAGGTTAGTTATATAAATGAAATGTGTAAGCTTTTTTACATGGATTAATTTGTGTGTAAGAGTGTGGCCGGATTTTCTCTCTGGCTTGATGATCTGTATGATATTTTATGGGATCTTAGGTGATTGTGTCCTATGAACAATACAACTTCAATGTATTTGAAGACCATTTTTTAAAAAAAAAAAAAATGCTGTATCTCGTAGTTTAAATGTAAGTAACGTCATGTCTCTGATTGTTAAAGTTTTGAATCTCAACTCTTTAAGGCAAAGTGCTAATTTTGATTTTTCTTGATATTGTTTCTGTTTACTATTGACTTTTCTGACCAGATTTGGACTTCATCCTCTTGATTTGGAGGTTGGAAAATGGCTTCGCAAACATGCACCTCAAATCAAACCTATTGTAGTGATGAATAAATGCGAATCACTCTTTGATGCTAGTGGTTCTCTAATGGCAGCTGCTTCTGAAATGCTCCGCTTAGGATTTGGGGATCCTATTGCCATATCTGCAGAGACTGGGTTGGGTTTGCCTGACTTGTATCAGTCTCTTAGGCCTGTTCTGGAGGATTATATGCTTCAAGTGCTAAATGGTAAGATAAGCCCAGTTTCAGAGTAGATTTTTCTATCTGATTATAAAAATACGACTACTGCATGCTTATTTTATGCCTGTCTATCTTATAGGTATTAAGATTTGATCACTGATGTGATATATGTGTCTTTTCTTTTTCATTGAAGCAGGTTTAGGCCAATAATGTGTTCATCATTTATTTTTTTCAATCACATGAAGAATATGCAAATTCAGTCTCATAGAGATTAAGTTCATTGTTGCATTGACATCTTTCCAACATGAATTCATTCAATTTTTAATAATTGTGGATGAAGGAACTCAGGATGATAGCTACAGTGAGGACAGCTGTTCCACTGAGGTTGATGAAAGTAAACTTCCATTGCAGTTAGCAATTGTGGGACGCCCCAATGTTGGGAAATCGACCTTACTAAATACATTGTTACAAGAAGACCGGGTTCTTGTTGGTCCTGAAGCTGGTCTGACAAGAGATTCAATCAGAACCCAGTTTGAATATCAAGGCAGGCAGATTTATCTTGTATGTACTCATTAATTTCTCTTTTTGGGCCCTAGAGCTGGTATTATAAATTATCGAAGGTGGTGGAGATAAATAGACCTTAGTAGAAATATTTCGATGAAGTATGAATCTTGACTCTAGTTGTAGTACAATTAGGATTCATTACTTTATTATTACTTTTTTATTATATGCTAAGATGCATCCTTACTCTTTCTAATTTATGCCTCATTATTTCAGATTCAATAGTTCCCTTTAATTATGATGTCATAGCATCTAATGAACAACTGAGTTCAGTAATCATGGTTAACATTTTAAGGTTCCTATATTCTTTTGCTTTATTATTGTGGCACATCATTTGTACTTTATTGTTTGATGCTTAGCATGCTTGTTACTTCTTCACTTTGAGACAGACATTTTGACTTAAAGTTGTTTAATAGGCGTGCCGACAATATTATTCATATGTTCTTGTAGAACTAGATAACTTCATAGCCTTCAAAAACTGGGTACACTAACAGTTATTTAATTTCTTGTCATTCAGGTTGATACTGCTGGGTGGTTGCAGAGGACAAAACAAGATAAAGGACCAGCTTCCTTGAGCATCATGCAATCAAGAAAGAATCTACTCAGGGCTCATATAATTGCTTTGGTGCTTGATGCTGAAGAGGTATGCCAAGGATATTGTGGGTTTAGGCGTGAGCAATACAGCTGTAATATTATCAGATTGTCGTTAGCATGCCAAGTTGCACTCTCATGAAGTCCATCGTTTATTGATGAAATTTTATTGTTCTTCTAAACTCATTTATTGCTTGAAAAGTTGTATCTGATTTGATACTCAAAATTTGCCAAATGTGCTTTATATTACTTTTTCATTTATGCTTTTTCTAAATGGGCTGGTCTTTGCTGGAGGAATCAATAATCATGCATGTTATTCAGTATCTTTCTTGCTGTTTCTCCTATTTGGTGAACATTGTGATGTGAGTGATGCATGAATTAGTAATTACCATATATGTGCTAGTGAATAGTGATTGTCTTTTGCTAGAATGACCGATGGGATTGTCATATCCTTTCTATAGAATTTCATGATCCAGTATTTGTTTTCCCTTTCCCCATTACTATATGCTTATCACATCCTGTATTGATAAACTTATCCTGCAAAAGTATTGGCCAGATTGCAAATGCCAGACGAAGTATGAAACATGCTGAGGTGGTTATTGCGAGACGAGCAGTGGAAGAGGGACGTGGTCTGGTTGTGATTGTGAACAAGATGGATCTTCTTAGAGGGAAGCGAAAATCTTCGTTGTGTGAGAAGGTTATGGAAGCTGTTCCTTTAGAAATTCAGACGATTATACCTCAGGTTTGCCATGTTCTAATAGGCCAAACTTCAAGTCTAGCTGTTTGACAAGTTGAACTTTAAGATCCCATGCCTTGAAGTATTATAAATTTTTACGTAGTTGCCAAAATCATATATTTGAATATGCTTTTTATCATGGTTCAAACAGAAGAAAAATCTCATAGTAAACAAGAAAAAGAAAAGAGAAGAAAAATCTGTCAATCAATCTCTTTCCTTCGCTCAAATTGCTCACACAAGTCTGGTGTTAATTCCTGATTTTCATCTCAAACAAGGTATAGTTGACTCAAACAAGGAAAAAGGTATACTTGTGAATCTAAATGTATTCATCTAAAGGAACAAATTAATAGTGAATGACTCATTTTAATTCGCTTCAAAAAGAATGCAGAAGCATGATGTTTACCCTGGTCATCGATAACTTTCTCGGGCATGAAGTATTTGTGAAGCACATGACCGGTCAGAATTGCTGAAAAATGACATTTGGGGGGATGTGTTGTACTGATTGTGGAAGCCTTGAGTGTACAAAAGTCTGTTAGTATGGTTAGATGTTGAATTATAACACGCAAGCTCAGATTGTGTAATCAGGGTTTAGAGCTAAAGTATAACTGGCCGTTCTGCTACTGTTGCTTTCATAGAATAAAGTTAAACTATGTGACCATTTTCGTATCTCCTCCTCATGTGGGGGATGAGTATTATTTTATCTTGTCTTCCAGTTTTATTGTGGTTTTGTGGTGATTTTTGGCTGCTGTCAGCAGATAACAGGAATCCCAGTTATATTCACATCAGCTGTTGAGGGAAGGGGCCGGACAGCTGTCTTGCGGCAGGTTGTTGATACGTATGAAAAATGGTGTTCGAGATTACCTACAGCTCGCCTTAATCGTTGGTTGCTTAAGGTAAGTGTCAGGGATTGTATGAAATTATTCGTTGGTCTTAAAAGTTTAATCTTCTTGGTGTAAGAACCTTTAACTAGTGCATTGTTTAGTGTCATTGGAAGGAAAGAAAAAAGAACCGAAAAGAGAAAGGAGAAGAAAGGATAGAGAGTGGACAAGTTACTCTTCAGTCATCACTTTCTTTGGCATCTTACTTACATTGGAAACAGAGACGTTTTTCTTCTATTATTTTGATTTATCAAGGAAAAAGGAAGGAAATACACAAATTTGTTAAATTACTCTCCCACCTGAATAAATTCACCCTTTGTTCAATATTATAAGGCATTTTTAATCGAGTTACACTCTCATTAAGTTAGTTAATTGTTTTTAAAATTACAGTCTTTCCATCTTTACCTTTATTTAATAGTATTTCAATTAAAAAAACTTTATTAATTATACCCCTAGTTAAGGATATTTTTGAAAAAACTTCATTAATTGCATTTTGAAAAACTCAAAATGTCTTATATTTTTTAATATCTTGCTTTAGAAAAAATGCCTTATGTCTTTGAAGGGAGGGAGTATATTAACCATGAAAACTATGATAACGAGGTATAAAAGATAAAAAAAAGGGATTTTGCCTTTCAGCAGTTCATTTGGGAGTGTTAGGAGATTGTTAACAAACCTATTCATTGACCATTGTTTATCAACATTTAATAAGTTGATATTGGTTGTATCAGGTTATGAGCCGGCATTCTTGGAAAGATCAAGCAGCACAACCGAAGATCAAGTATTTCACCCAAGTCAAGGCTCGGCCACCTACATTTGTCGCATTTGTGCGTGGGAAGACTGAGCTTTCAGATACAGACATTAGATTCTTAACAAAATCCTTGAAGGAGGACTTTGATTTGGGTGGTATTCCGATACGAATCATGCAACGGTCTGTCACTAGGAGAGATGGTAGTGGCAGTGGTAATGGTAGCATCAACAGCAAAAAAAGCAAATCTGTTGGCAAAATGGTTGAAAGGGTCTCTTCTGAGAAGAGAAGCATGTTGGTTGAATGACACTTCTAAACCAAATCTTCAAGTATGAAGAAGTGAATTTGTTAGCAAGATGGTGCAAAAGGGTCTCTATCTGTTGCCCGAATAACAATTTTGAACCAAATCTGCAAAAATGAGCTGAGTTGGATGCTTACGATATGTTTATGTGTGGATTTTATCATCAGTTCTATATAAAATTCTGGTAAACTGTCCTGTGAGAGGGGAATAGCATCAAGAGCAGAATTGAATTTGATATCAAGTTTTCTAGAAGGATGTAGCTAATGTTAAAGACTTTATGAAACCTGATAACTGGTGTAGAAAGTAAGCCCAAAGTTTATATATGATACTTTAATTAACATTTGTTGTGTTGTCTCGCTGCTATTGATTCAGTTGTGCTTTTGTTGCTATTGTATCCCTGTAACGTATTCAAGATGATGATAGGGTATATTTAAAAGAAAACCCTTATTTTCTACACCAGTACATGTAACTGGTGTCAAATGTCAATTTTCACACTGATTTTGGCGTTGATTGATGTAAGAAGTGAAAGAAAATAATTCATTTTTATTTTGTCTTTACCTTTCTGTTCTAATTAGAATAATTGGCGTGGAAATTGTATTTTTTACATCGATTTAATTACCAATATAAAAAGTTGATGGCTTCATGCGCTGCTTATAACAACACTGGTTCCAAAACCAATGACCAATGTAAAAGGAAACATTTAGCTTTTTTTTTTTTTTTTTTTGGGCATCAGTGTATGTTCAACCTCCAGACCTATTTTCCATGCAATACTAATAAAAAGAAAACACAAAACATAATATAAGATAGCATTATGTGCCGCAACTACTCCCTACATTAGAAAATATAATACATTTTTTTTCTTGAGATTAAATATTTAAAAATATAAGGTATTTTTAGTTTTTTAATATATAATTAATGAATTTTTTCCTTAAAATACCCTTAATAAATAAATCATTCAACCATTTGCCTTTAAATAAGATATCTGATTAAATAAGGGTAAATATAAAAAAAAAAAGTTAAAAGACAATAAAACAAAAGGCAATTAACTAACTTATTGAGAGGTGTAGGAGCAATTCAATTAAAAGTGTCATATATTTTTTAACAGAATGAGTGCTAGACTTCTAAAATGAATATGATTTTCCTGGTAGAATGAGTGTATAAAGGGCATGTTTGTTTAAGATTATGAGGGGAAAAAACAAGAAGTGATTTTAATTAATTTAAAAGTAAAACAGTGGTCTCCCTTTCATTTTGTTAAAATTACATATACCTTCCTTCTATTTTTAAAACCTATATTTTAATTTAATTTTTAACACTATTTGGAATATTCTATTAAATATTCCAGAAAACTTAATTTTTTTATAATTATGTTAAAAAATAAATCATTAATTTTCCTTTATAATTTAATTGTCTACTGTCTCCCCTAATTTAAAAAACTTTAAATAATTAAGTATTTTGTTAAGATTAATAAAATTTAAAGAAAAATAAACATAAATTATATTGACTAAGTTACATCTTATTATATTAAAACCATATTTCATTAAGTTTCTTTACATGCATGTTTGAAATATTATTTTATCCAACTTATGTATTTAATTTTTTAAAATTACTCAATAAATAAGTTTACATAACCAAAAAAATTACAATTTGAATAAAAAATAAGAAAAATGTATGCATTAAATTTGCTTTTCAGGTAACTTGAATGAATTCCAGAGAACATTTATGTTTAAATAAGAGTATTTTAGTCTAACATATGTAACTTAATAAAGTTGGATAGACAGAAATGAAATATTGAAAGTAGAAGGAAAATTTATATTTTGCCACTATTAATTCTAAAGGAATTTCATACTCACTCTATTAAAAAATATAAGATATTTTTAATCGAATCTTACCCCCCAATAAAGTAGTTATCTATTTTCAAACTAATCCTATTTTTTCATATTTACTCCTATTAAATACCCTATAATAAACATAAAGTCACTATCAACAGGGGCACTTTTGAAAAAAAAAAGCAATGATTACACCTCAAAAAACTAAAAATGCTTTACATTTTTTAACATTCAACCATTCAAAAAATGTCTTACATTTTTAAACGAGGAGAGTATAAGTTTTAAAAATAGAAAAAAATATCTATGATTAAGGTAAAATAAAGAATTTAGTTTATTTTACTTTAAAATTAAATACAAAGGAGTTGTTGGGAGAAATTTAACTTATATTAATAAGTTATTTAAAACAACTTAGCAAAATAAATTAGAAATATATGTTTTTAAAAATCAAAACACACATGAACATATCCTTTATATTTAGCCTATCACTCATGCTAACATTATCTATAATTAAAAATAAATTTAATGATAGCTAGGTATTAAAATAATGATCATTTATAATTAATGCTCTCTAATAATAGCTGCATCTGCAAATAGTTTATGGTGTGCCAAATTGGTTAAAAGTTATCAATGGAAAAGTCAAGGATCACTATCTACTTTTTGAAATTTTTGTTAATAATAATATAGGAAAATTTGAAGGAAAAATTAAGGAACTCCAAGGACTTTTATTACAAAAAAGAACAAATATTTTGAAATCCCCTTGCAAGATCAAGAGATTTAAATGAAATTAAATTAGGTTGTAAAAAGACTTAACTATTATAGATTTAAAAAAAAAACACAATCATCAATCCTTATAATTTTATCAAGTTTTATTTTTAGTCCCTGTAATTTTTTTAATGTTTTTAATCCATATAGTTTTAGAAAGATTTGGTAGCCTTCATTTTTTTAAGTTCTTATAATTTTATTGTTTTTAATCTCTATAAGAATTAAAAATATTAAAAAAAAACTATAACAATTAGAAACAAAACTCAATAAAACTATAAGAATTAAAGATTATGTTTTTTTTTTTTGGAAGTTCACCTTCATAGTTGCCGGTGTTGGCCGCCAGCCTGCCACCTCCAGCTGCAGGAGAAGCCCTTTAAATCCAAATTCAAATTCTCAGGCATATAAACAAACTCTTAAAATTTTTATGTAAGTCGGTATATATTTTATGGTGTTTTTTAACTTAAAAATTTACTGCAAAAAAAAAAAATCAAAAACCGGCAACGGTTCGCTGACCCGCCGCTGGTTCAGCAGCGCTGACCACAATCCCGACTATTACTAAGGCGACAGATCAAAAAAGTTGTCCAGGTTGAAGTTATTGAAAGCGTGCGAAACAAAAGTCACTATCCCTATCCTATGTGGGAAATGGAGAAAGTAAAACCCACTTATATGAACGGCTCAAACTTCAACCCCAATTCAATCTCTTGCCTTTACTAATACTTCACTAAAATGTGGTTTATTATTATAATATACAAGTCTTTATTATTATATTGATATTATCCACTAATTTACTTATAGAGAAAACATAGCTTTTGATATCTATATTTTACTTTTGATTCCTGTATTTTTTTTTAATATTTTATGTCTCTATACTTTTATTTTTTATTGTTTTTAATCACTCTATGAATAAAGTATAGGAGCCTTGGAGAGACCGAAAACAATGAAAAACAAAAATATATATCCTAAAATAACAGTGGAAAAAAAATACAAAGACCAAAAGCAAAAACATGAGTAAAATACAAGAACTAAAAATTATATTTTCTCTTATATTAAGCATTGGGAAGGTTTCAAGGAAATATAACTCTCAATATAATTTTTTATTTAATCCATAACATTAGAACCTTCAACCACATATGAGAATATAAACTTCCTTCCTCCAAAATTTAATTTTATTTGGGTGAGAATATGACATGTAAAATGGGAAACTAATATTAATTATATTTTTTCACATTAAATCATTGAAGTGACGAGCACCAAATCTAAGGCACATCAAAATCGAATGGTCGATATTTAATATAATTTTATTTTCAATTTCTAAAAACTTAAAATTTTAATAAATATAGGATTTAAAATAAAGATAATTTTTTAACTGCCATTTTGTCAAAAAAAAAAAAAGATTTTCACTTAAAAATTATTAATTAAAAATTTAAAATCTAGACAATTGAAAATGAATTTAGATGATTCAGATTTTACCAAAACCCAGTTGAAAACTGAACTAGCTAGGACCTCCTTAGATTTTTTTATTTTTGTTTAATTATTTGCATAAGAAAGACTCGCACGACGTATGCATAGTTGAGAAAGTGAAGAAATTGACGCTACAAGATTTCAGTGAACTATAGGCGATAAAACATGTGGAAGTTTGTGGGCCTACAAAGGCCATAACTATCTAATTGTGGTAACCAAATTCAACTAGAATTGAGCACTTGGATCACAAGAAGACACAAGTGTGCACGCACAATATTTCAAACTTTTCAACTTGAAAGAATCATGCAGGACCCCTGAAGTATGAACCCATTGACGAGTGAGTGTGTAGTGACATGATTAGTGACGTAGCAAGCCGGTGATCTTCTACTATAAAACGCCACATGCATTTCCTTGTTTTTGCATCATCCCAACTTAGTGATAGTGATCATGGCTTCCGCTAGTAGTCTACTTGTGTTCTTCTTAGGACTGGTGATTCTCATCAATCCTATGAGAGCAGATTTCAATCATGAACCTTTCCCTGAACACAAACCATCAAAGCCTGTTGAGAAACCTCCTCCCCAAGGGAAGCCATTCCCTGGACACCGGTTATCCGAGGAGAGGCCGTTGCCTGAACATAAGCCTTTCCCCGAGCCCAAACCAAAGGGTGAGAAGCCAACTTTGAAAAACAATCCTCCTCTTGACCATGATCACCCTGGGCATCGTTTATCAGAGAAGTCATTCCCAGAACATAAACCTTTCCCTAGACCGAAACCAAAAGGTGAGAAGCCACCTCCGAAAACTAAGCCTCCACATGACCCTACTCACCCAGGACATCGCCTGCAAGAAGAAAAGCCTTTGCCAGAACCTAAACCAAAGGGTGAGAAGCCACCTCCGAAAACCATTCCTCCACATGACCCTACTCACCCAGGACATCGCCTGCAAGAAGAAAAGCTTTTGCCAGAACCTAAACCAAAGGGTGAGAAGCCACCTCCAAAAACCGATCCTCCACATGACCCTACTCACCCAGGACATCGCCTGCAAGAAGAAAAGCCTTTGCCAGAACCTAAACCAAAGGGTGAGAAGCCACCTCCAAAAACCATTCCTCCATATGACCCTACTCACCCAGGACATCGCCTGCAAGAAGAAAAGCCTTTGCCAGAACCTAAACCAAAGGGTGAGAAGCCACCTCCAAAAACCGATCCTCCACATGACCCTACTCACCCCGGACATCGCCTGCAAGAAGAAAAGCCTTTGCCAGAACCTAAACCAAAGGGTGAGAAGCCACCTCCGAAAACCATTCCTCCATATGACCCTACTCACCCAGGACATCGCCTGCAAGAAGAAAAGCCTTTGCCAGAACCTAAACCAAAGGGTGAGAAGCCACCTCCAAAAACCGATCCTCCACATGACCCTACTCACCCCGGACATCGCCTGCAAGAAGAAAAGCCTTTGCCAGAACCTAAACCAAAGGGTGAAAAGCCACCTCCAAAAACCAATCCTCCACATGACCCTACTCACCCAGGACATCGCCTGCAAGAAGACAAGCCTTTACCAGAACCTAAACCAAAGGGTGAGAAACCACCTCCGAAAACCAAACCTCCACATGACCCTACTCACCCAGAACATCGCTTACAAGAAGAAAAGCCTTTCCCAGAACCTAAGCCAAAGGGTGAGAAACCTCTTCCAAAAACCAAGCCTCCACATGACCCTACTCACCCAGGACATCGTTTGCAGGAGAAAGAAAAGGTTGTGCCAGGAGGTAAGGGAGAGAAGCCACCACAAGATCCTTATCACAAATATCCTCCTACACGGGATAATGCTGAAGAGAGAGAGAAGTTTCCTAGAAAGTTGAAGGCTTCGATTCTTGGAAACAAGCCTGAAGCACCTCATAAGCCTCCCTATAAGCCTCCGATGAACTGAGTATTTCGTAGGTGCTCTATATGATATGTTTATTACTAAAATAATGGCGGTCTCTATTTACCGTGCTTGCACATGCTAGTTATCCATACATATGCTATTATTTTGTGAGCTTTTTTGTTGTTCCCATCATCCACATGAGATTGGAGATGCACCGGTTATTGGTGCTTGTTATGTATCATATTCAGCATTGATATATCTTACTTTCATCGTTTTGTGTTACCTATATGTTTATATTATTTTTACTTTTTTTTTTTTTATCAAACTTACTCCTCACCAGCACATAGCACTCGAATCACAAGCACTTTATCGCTAAAAATGTCCTTTTTTTTTTTTTCCTTTTTTGGGTGGGGGGCTATCTAACAATAGAAAACTAATTGCCATGAAAAGATGATACAAAACCCAATCACTGGTTTGTCTCATTTCTCCCTGATATCTAGTCAGATTAATGTTAACCATGAAAATGCATTTAGATCCAACTTTTCAACAAGTTCAGTTTCGTGAGATTATGTTGTTGTTGGGAAATCTGATCATGTGGACTGGACCAAATAAACTGCAGAAAGAACAAAACTGCCCAATGCCCCCTCCCAAAAAAAAAAAAAAATCACATAATCAATTAGCTTTTAGGGGCATGTTTTGTTTGATTAAAAAGTGGCCCATTTTATTATAATGTCATAGTCAAAGCTAAATCAAAATTTTAATGCTTCAAATAAAAAAATGAAAAATAAAGTACACTTAAACTCTTTCCCTCAAATGCTTGTAGCCATTTATGGTATTAAAATAAAAAATAAAGTACACTTTCAAATTCTTTCCCTCAAATGTTTTGGTACAGATACAACCACAACATCTTATAGATCAACTTAACCTATACATACAATATACAAACACACACAAGAAATTAAAGCACAAATTTCACACACATTCAATAGTATTCAGATCTGGTCATATATAGAGGGTACAGGACTTAGAAACCATGACTAAATTTTTAGCTCCATTTGTGTGAGTGTGACCGTCAAAGCCAGAAAATTCAACTCTCTTTTTGTTTCCTCATTCTGATTGTAAAAAACAGTATTCCAGGTTGGGTAGAAAATATGGCAGTACACAAGGACAACTTAATTCTATTTATCTTCATCGGCAATTGGTATATATTTCTCTCATCCCTTAAAACCAACAAGAGCAAGAAATTGTATATACAATCTCATTACAGGATTATTGTAAAGGTACCTCTCACCAAGGAATTGAGATCGGAAGCAGCTGCAGTGAACTGTATGGGACACTGAAAGCTGACGGCTTTCTCCCCTACCAGAACACTCATTTATCATTTGATTATGCCTCTTACAGAGAGATGCTGCAGCCTAGACAAAAACCACCACAAATTATCATAACAAATATCATTAACTATTAATATAATAATTGAGAATTTCTTGTTCAAATTTTAATTCAGGTTCATTAAATTAAGCTGGGTTTATAATTATCAAGACATAGTTAATTAAGAATGACCAGATTCAGACGGTTACAATGATGAACTTACTCATCACTGAGGCTGTGAGCATTGGTGGAACGTACACGGACCAAAGACTTGATGGTTGCAGCAGCAGCAGTGCATATCTTTTTATTTGATCAACCTTTGCCTAATTGCCTGCATGACAAATGACCACAAAAGCTTATCAGTTATTTGAACTTGTCTCAACCAATTAATAATCTATTACACTATAACATGTTTTCGTGTTTCTCAAAAAGAATGCAAAACACAATCATGTTCTACAAAGCTTGCATTTGGTATTGAATGAAAAGTAGAACGAAAAATGGAAATGAATATAACAATAAAATGTTTGATATGCCTTGGGCAAAAACATCACACTTCTTCATATTAAGTTTAGTAACATAATAGAAGAATAATGGAAATGAGTTGTACAAGGGTAGCATCAAAATGTTCTTGTGCAAGAATTACAAAAGATGAGTGGTCAACAGGTTAGGTAACTTTGGGATTTCACATCCCATTCCTTTAGCAACAATGACAGTATTCCATCCAGGCTACAATGAAATCAAATTAGCATACAACTTACCCAGAGGAATCAATAAAGAAATTCAATTCCTGCATAGCCAAGTACTAAGTTTCTGCCAGAATCTATCATCCATTCCAATTCATTTCTTTCTTTTTTTTTTTTTTCTTTGGCCAAACATTCAAATTCATTTCAAAGACAATTTCATCGAGGTTGTAGAATTTACCAATCAAAAAGGATTTTTTTAATGAAAGGAACAAGAAAATAGGAAGGGCCACAAATTACATGCTCCTACCATCCAACTCAATCAAATTCCTGCAACCAAGGTGTCAATCAATAAAACAAAGAGTATGACTATGGAGATCGTGAATCGATCTAGCAAGTCAATTTACACAATCATTTGACTAAAAACAAAGAAATCAAATTGAAAGATAGGGTTCACTTACATTGAATGTTAAACTAAGAGTATCATTTAGTTTACTATGTAGTTCAAAATGTTGATAATCTGTGTCTGGGGCTTGCACAATGTCCCACCTAGTAACTTCTTGTTTTTCTTTAGAATTTTTAGATGGAACTCTCTTCATCAATCGATTTGACATTGCTTTATGTAAATGATTCACCAGAGAGATAAATTGCTAGACCCTTTTCTCCAATGAGACAAGATTTTTTTTTTTTTTTTTTTTGGGTAAGATTCAAAAATGTGTAATTGAGGTTGAGCTGTAAAAAACTATTGTTGTATTTTTGTTGTAAAACCTGATAGGAAATGATTGAGAAAAGCTTCAAATTTATCTTTTCAAGTAACAAACCATCTTGGTGACATAAAATGTGGAAATCAGAAGACAAGTGTTCGCTTCAACAAAACACAAACTACAAAATGAGACACCACAAATACTTCACTTAATTCATCCATATTAATTGATAGCATTAAAAGATGTTACCATTATTCATATCCAGAGATATAAAATATGCATAAAATTCAATCTTAGGCCTTATTGTTTTTAATTTCTTGACACGAGAAACAGCCTTAAACTTTGAAGCTTAACTTCAAAATATTACAAACAAAATAGTACCAATCTAAAACCAAATAAATCTAACTCTACCTATGTTTTATAGCCAGTCTCAAACTCAGATAAAAGAAGATTCCAACCAACAGAATTCATTTATACTTGCAAAAACAACAGTTGACTTCAAACAGAACATCAGGCAGAACTCATTATACTCCCGAGCCATCAGAGGAATCCCATCATAGAAAGAATTAAAATTTTATTCATATAGAACTGCAGTCTAGAGGATTTGATCCCTTGAACTTTCCATTTACAAGTATATCATAGGAAGTGTCATCAGGCACAAGACCTCTATCAAGCATCTCATCATGCAATCTAATTGCCTCTTGTACATTGCCCTCCCTGAAGTGTCCAGCAATTAAAGTGTTATAAACAAGAACTGTAGGAGTGATATTACTCGTATCCATTTCTTTCCGTATCTTAAGAGCATTTGATACTTGTCCTCGCCTACTAAGTCCATTAATCAGAACAGTGCACATGATTATATCAGGCACAACACCCTTGGATAGCATCTCTGAGTAGAGATTTGAAGCAAGAGCCAATTTACCCTCCTCGAGAAGCCCATCAATTAATGTTGTGTATATCTGTATATCGCATGGAATCTTACCATTAATCATTTTCTTGTGCAAATCCAATGCTTCTTCCATATTTTTCAAATTTCTAAAACCATTAATCATGCTGCTATAAATAATTGTGTTAGGAGACAAACCAACCTCCAAAAGCTCAGAAAACAGTCTGCAAGCATTTTCCATGTCTTGCTGTTTGCAGAACCCATCAATAAGAGCACCGTATGCAGTAATATCCAATTCAAAACCCTTGTTTCTCATCTCATCATGCATTTTCAAAGCAAGACCAATGTCATTGCTTTTGCAAAATCCATTAATCAAACTGGTATAAGTGATCACATTTGGTGGGATTCCATCTTCAGACATCTTCTTGTATACAGACAATGCCATATTGACAGAACCTTCCTTAACAAATCCATCGATGATGCAATTGTAAGTCCTTATTGTAGGAACAAAACCCTTCTCAGCAAACTTGTTCAACATATCCTTTGTCTCAGATGTCCGACCAACTTTACACAATCCATTTATAACCATGTTAAATGTGAAATCTGTTGGTGCAATTTCCTCGGCCATCATTTGGTCAAACAAATTGAGTGCATGTTTAGAGTCTCCTTTTCTGAAAAATCCATCAATTAAAATAGTATATGTATAGGCATTTGGTTTTAAACCTGCTTTTAGAATCTCATTGATCAACCTCAATGCATCATCAACATGACCCTTTCTGCAGTGGCCAAGTATCATGCTATTGTAAGAAACTACGGAAGGTACAATGCCCTTAACCATCATCTTATCCCACAAGTTGCTAGCCTCATCAATCTTGCCCTGATCACAGAGCCAGGATAAGAGGACATTATACGTTACAACATTAGCAATACCATGCTCAACTGACTCATCAAACAATCTATTTGCATCTTCTTGCAATTCCTGTTTCAAGAATCCCTTTAGAAGGCAATTATAAATAAAGGAAGTAGGCTGGATGTCCATGAGTTTCATTTGGGAGAAAATTGCATATGCCTTCTCCATATTCCCAATCTTAGAGCACCAATTGATCAAAAGAGAGAAAGTACCCTTGTTAGGAGCAAGTCCAGCCTCAACTGTTTCATTGAACAACTTTATTGCACTAGTAACATTCCCCTGTATGCAATACCATTTCATCAAACATTTTGTGACTCCAATATTCAGTGGTATATTACTGCTCGCCATCTCATCCTTAAGCCTCAATGCCTCAGTGACATTACCCTGCTTCAAACAAGCACCAATGGCACGTGTATATGTACCCTCAGATGGCACCCAACCCATATCTTTCATCTCCCTCAGCAGACTATATGCCAACTTCAAGTTAAGCCACTTGCAAGCAGCCTGAACAACAATGTCAAATCCCAAAGCATCAATTTTTGGCCCTCTAGCCCTAAACTCTCTCAAATACTTTTCTGCCTTTTCACTATACCCCCGGATCAAACATGCAGACATTACTTCATCCAGAGTAAAACAATCACCATAGATTTCTCTTTGGATCATTTCATCATACAAATCTATTGCTTCATCAATCATGTTCCTCTTAACCATTGCTTTCAGAAGGTTATTCATAAATTGGACCCAAGGATTGATATTTTGATCGAGCATCGTTCTAAAACAATCAACAGCATCTTTGATTTTATTAGCTTTAACATAACTATACAATAAATAATTGACAACCCGAGGATTTGCTGCAAGCTTGTACCTTCCTGCGCACTTAACTAGTTCTTGCACAAACACACTTGGAGCTGGACACAAATTTTCAACGTAGTTACTGAGCAGATCCCAAGCAACCCCACGAGTCTCAGAGTAAAATGTCAAAATATGAAGCAACAAACAGAAAGCATCAATGCTTTTTATAGAGACCCATTTACATTCTATTTCCCTGAAGAACTTTAAAGCTGTTGTGGGTTGGTTCTTGCAGCTTAAAAGGGTGTCCATGACGTGCTTTGAAGTTGAAAGAAAATCACCCATGATAGGTTTGGTGAAGTCAGCATCTGGGGGTTCCTCAGAACATGAGCTTTGATCATAATCAATTGCAGATGAAACTCCCTCCATATGATTGGATTTCGGTGTCATTTGCTCAGGAAAGTTGCCACTCGAAATAAAAGTGGAATTTATTGTTTTCAGGTCCATGTGAGGCTCACTGGGGAGACGTGCCTTTGAGCACAGATTGCTTATGCGTAAAAAAATGTGAAGCTTGTGCTGAGAAATCAATGACATGTTGGTGGAAGATCTCTTCCACATTGTCTAAATTGTTCAGTGAGTAATTATGCAAAAGAAAGCAAACACAGGAAACGCAGAAGGTTGCTCCTGTTGCAGCAAACACAGAATGAACAAGTCCCCAGTGGAGTCAGCTTCTCTCCACCCACCCCTTCCCTCCGCTGCCTCTCCACTAATTCAAAACACACTGTTTTGCTTCCTAAAACAAAATCTGAGCCTTTCCATCTTGCAATCAATATAAGCCCTTGGTTGCAAATTTCTTGCTGTTTCTTGTTCTTCTTCCTTCGGCAGTGCTTTTCAGGTTGAATTTTACATTATTTCCACTTCCTTCAGTTAACGGACAAGAGACCACTTCATTTTGCTGCCCCAAAAGGCGATTAGGGTTACTACAAAAGCTCCTCCTCTACTTAATCCAAATTGAGCCAATCCTGCAAGGATATATCAAATAATAAAATTAGAACTAGAAATTTCACGGTATATGTTCATTTATTCATCTACCAATCTTATCTACTAGTAAGAGATTATAGGAATTAATTAACATATACTTATCAAATTGATCAAATACTTTGTCAAACATCTCAATTTGCTTCAACGTAGGGGGCAACAGTGTTGAATTAGAAGTAAAAATTCAAAACTTTGTTTACTCATGCAAAAATACATAAGACTTTCATTTAATCATAAAAAGTACAGAAAATAAGAACTGCATAAAAAATTCAAGACCAGAGTATGTTGCCGAAATTGGAATTGAATAAATGAGATGTTCAGTTCAAAAGTTACACCGTAATATATATGGTGTCAGAAAGGGCAGAAAAAGATGGAGACCCTAGAGTCTCTAAACAGAAACAGAAAGAAGTGCAGCAATATAACCAATAATATTTGTTCCCCATGCCCTCCTTCACTCAGCACAATGTATTCTCCTACTAGCTACTTAATTAAATACTTTTATGAAAAGTATATCCTCTTAGATATGATTAAAATCTCAAACTTAATGCACTATTATATTTGCAACCATTGATTCATTCTAATTATGATGCTTTAGCTGCCCGAAAAAAAGTAAATCACGAATGAATCCTATAGGTTTACTTTAGAGAAATAAAAGTGCTATATGAGTGGGATATAGAATATGGCGAAATCTCTCCCATTCTCTTCTTTTCTGGAAAAGCCGAAGATGAATTAATTAAGAACATGATGGTTGTGGCTTACATAATTCAATTAAAAAATAATAAAACACATACATAAGCTGATACAATCCAAAATCCAAACAATGACATATCCAGTGATAGTTCCCACACAAATTCTAACCAGATCATCAGTTCCCTACCATCACCAATAGAAGAAAACGAAGCCCATTAAACATGGATGGCATGAAAATTTGAACACCCAGAGCGCGTGCATGGCAATGATTATTTAGTGAATAATACAAAAGATTTACAAGACGATCTCAATTAAGCAGAAGACCTGAGACACTGTAGGATGTGGGGATTCAACCCATGTCGACTCGTACCCGGAGCTCAGATTGAGCAACAATTATTTATTTAGCAAAGTCAGCAAGAAGAAAGCCGACCAACCCGGAGCAAAAGGCAGAAGCACAAGAGCACACGAAGAGGCTTGGAGAGGTGACGGCGGAGGGCGAGACGCTCGACGGCTCGAGCACGACGGACAGCGAGAAGCACCCGAGGCAGAGGCAACGTGCGAGAAGGAGAGTGGAGCTGGAACACGAAGGCCGAAGCCGGAACAATTTATATATTCAAATAAAAATATTTATTTGTATATTTAGTTTTAATATAATATATTTATATAAAGATATATATTTTAATAATACTTTCAAATTTGTCTATAAAATTTGTTCAGCTTGAAAATTTATATTTTTATTATATTATTAATGATTTATTATCACTTGTTTGCTTAAAAGTTACAAGTCTATTTTCTTTTCTTTTCTTTTTTTCAATAGAAAAGAGTATTAAGATAATTTAATAGTTACAATTAGAAGAATTCAAAGATAAATGTCGCTGATCATCAACCACCTTAACGTAATAAGAGGTGGATGATCAAAGGTTCGTAAATTATCTAAATGACATAAAGCATTTCTAGCCAAAAGATGAGAGCAAACATTTGCCTCTATAAATTAACGTGAAGTTAACCTTAAAATGCTAATCCCTATTAAAAAAATTCCTAGCTTGATCAATGATATCCCTATAAGGGTGGTCGTTAATAGTGTCTTTAAGCAACATGTTGATGGCTGAACCCATGAACCAGCTCATTCTCCCAAGGCCGCTGGCCCAGCATAATTGCAGCCCATACAACATTCCAATCATTTTAGTAAATGCAATAGGGTAGGCTCCCACACATGCATCAAATCATGTATTCCACTCTGCCTAACTTCCCCTTATCACTCCCCTGCACTTGCTAACATTATCTTGGACAAAGCCATCTCCATCTAGCCTAACTGATCCCATTTCTGATCTACACCATTGGTCATGATTCAATGTTTCATAAAAGTATAAGATATTTGTGATACACGTAGATCTAACTTTACTTTTTTGTAAGGTTAAGGCGATTTAGAATACTCTAAAAACTCCTGAGTAACTATGAGAAGGTTAGACTGTGTGAGAATATTTTAGAAGAATCCACACAACTCTAACATGAATATTTTAATATAAACTCTAGAGAATTCTATGTAAATATTCAAACATTTGTTGTAAAATATTTAGTAGAGAATTCTAGAGAATCAATAATGACCGTGAGATCAATTTAATTTTTACTATCTATTAAGGAGGTGTAAATTTTTTAAATTCAAAGGGAGGTCTATAATTACCTTATCCCTTATCATTTGTAAACATCCTTAAGTTTCGTCTTTAAGTTCTCAAACAATACAAGTCTCGCATTTTTACAATTCTCTTAATCATACTTTACTTTTAAGATTTTCATTCCTCAAATTAGCCAAGCATATTCCTTTTCAATAAATCAAGCTTACTTAACATCTTTCGATAAAAAGTGTCTAAGCGTCATGTGAGTTGAAAGATTAGCCCCATAACAATTTCTTGCCAAATAACCATCATCAAATAATTTTTTACATTTATCACACCAAACGTTCCGACGCCCATATCCAAATAGCAACTCCCAAGGTACTTGTTTTGTGAAGTCCTTGCCAGCGTCATTTCTTAAGTTCCATGAGATCTATTCTTCTCGATGTATCGGGAATTTGTTCCAATGCTTTGGTCTCACGAGCCATTTCCATCTTTCAACTGCAAGAGGGCAATCCTGAGAAGGTGCAAGACATCCTCGCTCATGTTGCACCCAAGCCCACACCTATCAAAATCAGTCAATACCCTCCCAGCTCCCCATGCCGCTATATGAACCTTATTGCTTGCAATTTACCAAAGGAAGACTTTGATCTTCTCTAGCCCTTTCCATCTCTAAATCTTACTCCATATTGCTCCATCCGAGGGTTGTGTACCTCCAACAAGGAAATCATATGCAGTTTTCATGTTGAAGTTGCCATCATGGAATGGCCTCCAAATAAATATGTTCTCACCACACTTTATCTCTCGGAGTGGAAGTGCAAGCTATATGATGGACAATATGACTAGGCAACCAAATTTTCACCTTCCTAGCATCCCGTCTCCCCTTTAGGGAAACAGAATCAGCAACACTTTCATTGGCATCAAATGAGTGATCATGAGCAATATGGGAAAGCAAAACCCCTAATCCAAACTAGCTATGAGTCCAAAACTTCTTGTTGTGCTCGTTTTGAACCCATTTTCCAATCCCTTCGACAAATTTCCCCCAGCATTTATAAGTACTGCACCAGGTGAGAGGAAGCTTCATGTTTCTTCTTTCGAATTCATTACAACTCATTTTAAAAATATGTTATTTATAATTTACAATTCCTTACTATTTCTTGCATGTGATTTAAATATTTGCATGTATTATGAGAGATTTAATAAGGTTTGGGAAGATAAAATATTTTCTTGCTATTGATATATATTGTTTTCTTTTTTCACCAATATATACATACACACCCACTCACTGGCACATACATTTATATCATTTTCATTCAATCTATTCAAAAGGAAAGAAATATTTACTATTAGAGCTAACTTGTGAGTTGGATTTATCTAGGTGAAATTTATTTGGATTGGATTTAAAATGTATAAATATGTAAAAAGCCTATGTTAGTTTTTGACATATAGTACACTTTCAGTGGATCAATGTCGTTGGCCCAAGCCTACATTGTACAGTGGGAGGTCAAATTAATGAGGCAAAGAGATCAGGGTCCTTGACTGGAATATATCCTAAATCCATTTTGAGGAATAAGAGGGAATAGTTAACTGCATGCACGTTGCGTTTATCTTCATGTATGGAAGTTATTTGGCAAGGGTGTGTGTGAAAACTATATCTCCTATGGGAGAGATATTAGCGAGGCAGACTACAAAAAGCCTTCGGTGCTCTGTTCTCTCTTTTACTCCAATGTATTTGCTACGTGTTTCTGAACCAAATTCTACCATAACTCCATTCCTGCTTAGAAGTATTAGCCAGCGCACTAAAAAGTACACTTTTGACTCCATAATTCTACATTTTATACTATCAACTCCAATCCTAACACATCAAGCTTTTGAACTGACCTAAATACCTAAATTATTTAATATTGTTTTATTTTTTTCTTAGCCAATTTTAATTTTTATCTTAAAAATAAAAATTTTTCAAGAACAAAACACTATGAAGAACCTTTTTTCCATCATTATTAAAAATGAAATCAAGCAATTAAAAAAAGTAAAAATGAAAGCATATGAAGTAACTTTTTTTGTATTTTTCCTTAATATTTTCAAAAAATATTCAAAACAAATAGTTATTAAAACATTAAAAATTCATTTAGGAATGCAAACTGAACATGAGAAGGTTTGTGAGTGCTAAGGGAAAGATGAAGTGAAAGTTAATTTCATTTGATTAATAAAAAAATTCAAATGCTTAAGTTAAGTTCGTGCCGGTTTGACTAAGCTAAGATTTCTTTAAGCTAATTCGGGTGACCTAAATAAATGTGAAGTAAAAAAAATTTAAAATCTCAAGCTTGATCCCAAGATTTTTCAAGTTTATCCAAATTTATCTTGAATTATTAGCTTATTTATGGTAGAAAAAATTAAATCTATATATAGGCTCAATAACTAAAAGGAGATTCAAGAGGTCCCAAAAAGCAATTGGACTTTAGTTTGCTACCTTGGCCCATGAGGAGTCCATATATAAACACGGGTTAGGAGTGTGTTTGGACAACCAAAGAAAGTTTCTTGAAGACAAATTTATGAACTAATTAGGAGAATAGCTAAGTAAGAATCTTTTTCATTAATATATTAATATAAGAGATTTTAATCCTTATCATTTTAGGAAATTGATTGTTTTATAATTTCATTAAATTCTCTATTTGAGATATCTTATACGTGTCATTTTATCGACTATTAAAAAAACTTGAATGTTTCTTTACAAGTTTTGCACTTGTTTGCCTCATGCTCTTCTCTGAATATAAGTTTGACTTATAAAAAAAGCAATCGCCTATTGTATGGCCTTTTATAATTAGAGTTTTAAGAAACATTAGAGCTTATTTGGTTTTGTTCAATATTTTGTTTAAAAAATTATTTTGTAAACAATTTTAAAAAAAATTGATTATATTAATTTGAAAAAAAAATAAAATTAAAAATTGGTCAACAATGGTGGTCAGTGGCAGTTAATAGTAGTAGCCTATGCTTAGCCATAGCTAAATAAAATTTAATTTATAATAATCAGATGTAGTGTATTTTAGAAATTAAAAAAAATAGCTCTAAGGGCTGGTTTGTTTAAACCCTTTTCATAAAAAAATTATTTCTTTTTTAAGAAAATACATTTTATGAAATTTTATAATACTTGTTTAATTTTTTAAAAATAATCTAAATTTGAAAAAGTGGATTTTTTATTATTTTGAGAAGCTACTTTAAATAGTTTTTGAAAATAATTTGATATGATAAATAAAAGAGAATGTCATAAAAACTCAAGATACACAAATATATTATAAAATTTTAAAATAAATAAATAATAAATTATTTTTTACAAGTAAAGATTCACAAAAATATCGAAAATGTAAAAATAATTAATTAATAATAACTTTTTATTATTGTAGCTAAACAAAAAAAATAATATCTTCTTTTTAATAAATTGTCTATGAAATAAATATCTTTTTATAAAATATCTAAATTATATAAAAAAATTTTATTTTTAAAATTTAAATGAATAGGTCTAAAGATGTTTCCATATTTTTGTTTTTTTTTTAAGAGAAAAAAATTTCAAAAACATTTAAATCCAAAACAAGCAGGGCACTTTTCCTTTATGCTATATAGATGGTCAGCCATGTGTTGTCTTGCACCTCATATATAGATAATAATTGACTCCATGCTATAATATTGCCTAATTAACTCCATGAACTCAACCATACAACCACATATTACTATGGTAATTAGGGATCAACTATTCTAATCTCCTTACCATATTAAATAAAATTTAACTATAGTTAAAAGAGTTAACTAGTAGAAAAGGAAAAACTAAGATCGAAAGTCTACTATATAGTTAATATAATTAAACTTTTAAATATGAGTCATTAGAAAATAAGCACATGTACCCCTATTATGTTAGAAAAGAATCTAATATAGTAGAAAGAATTAAAACTAATTAATAGATATTAGTATGCC